CTCTACATAATGGAAGGCAGCTAGGCGTTCTAATTAGTCGTATATGACCTGATTGTCCAATATTACCTTCACCCATATTCCATTCCACCCATTTAGTGCAACTGCACTAGAGCTTTCCGATGCCGTGTCTGCCGAGGCCATAGCCTGCTAATTTCCAACATCCTTCGGGGGGGGCCCCGAGGCCCCATCATTGAGCGAAGGTGAAAAACTCCCATAAGGCCGAGCCTGTCATGGCCTGGTCTGTCCTGTCCCGCCCTGTCCTGTCCTGTCCTGTCCTGTCCTGTCCTGTCCTGTCCTGTCCTGTCCTGTCCTGTCCTGTCCTGTCCTTTTCTGTTCTGTTTTGTCTTGCACAGAACATATAAGTGTGTGCTGGCCAGGGCGGGCGGGTTTTGTGTTTATCTGCTTTCTGCTCTTCATTTTGGCCGTCTTGTCCTCTGCCCTCCGCTTTCTGCCCTCCGTACTCAATCCTTGGATTTTTGCTTCCCCCCCGCTCAAGTCTTCTGTCCTACCGTGCCGTCTGTCATGCACTACCGTGTGCTCTGCTGTTTCGTTTGTCCCATCCTGTCCCGTCGCTTCCGGTATCTAACTTTTGCGCCAGGAGAACGTCCTTGCTATATATCTGACGTCAGATCATGCATCACGGTGACCTTTACCTACAATCGATTTTTCAGCGTTGTTACCAGATTGGTGGGTGAAAGGAACGCTCCATTAATTTGCGTTTTAACTAAGACAAAATGTCACATGGGCTGAACCGCACACTGGGAAAACCTGTCTGTCTGTCTGTCTGCCTGACAGACACCTGTGACACCTGTGTCTGACAGACACCTGAAAACCTGTCTGTCTGTCTGTCTGTCTGTCTGTCTGTCTGTCTGTCTGTCTGTCTGTCTGTCTGTCTGTCTGTCTGTCTGTCTGTCTGTCTGTCTGTCTGTCTGTCTGTCTGTCTGTCTGTCTGTCTGTCTGTCTGTCTGACTGACTGACTGGACTGACTGACTGACTGACTGACTGTACTGACTGACTGACTGACTGACGACTGACTGACTGACTGACTGACTGACTGACTGACTGACTGACTGACTGACTGACTGACTGACTGACTGACTGACTGACTGACTGACTGACTGACTGACGACTGACTGACTGACTGACGACTGACTGACTGACTGACTGACTGACTGACTGACTGACTGACTGACTGACTGACTGACTGACTGACTGACTGACTGACTGACTGACTGACTGACTGACTGACTGACTGACTGACTGACTGACTGACTGACTGACTGACTGACTGACTGACTGACTGACTGACTGACTGACTGACCTGACTGACTGACTGACTGACTGACTGACTGACTGACTGACTGACTGACTGACTGACTGACTGACTGACTGACTGACTGACTGACTGACTGACTGACTGACTGACTGACTGACTGACTGACTGACTGACTGACTGACTGACTGACTGACTGACTGACTGACTGACTGACTGACTGACTGACTGACTGACTGACTGACTGACTGACTGACTGACTGACTGACTGACTGACTGACTGACTGACTGACTGACTGACTGACTGACTGACTGACCTGACTGACTGACTGACTGACTGACTGACTGACTGACTGACTGACTGACTGACTGACTGACTGACTGACTGACTGACTGACTGACTGACTGACTGACTGACTGACTGACTGACTGACTGACTGACTGACTGACTGACTGACTGACTGACTGACTGACTGACTGACTGACTGACTGACTGACTGACTGGACTGACTGACTGACTGACTGACTGACTGACTGACTGACTGACTGACTGACTGACTGGACTGCTGACTGACTGACTGACTGACTGACTGACTGACGACTGACTGACTGACTGACTGACTGACTGACTGACTGACTGACTGACTGACTGACTGACTGACTGACATGACTGACTGACTGACCTGACTGACTGACTGACTGACTGACTGACTGACTGACTGACTGACTGACTGACCTGACTGACTGACTGACTGACCTGACTGACTGACTGACTGACTGACTGACTGACTGACGACTGACTGACTGACTGACTGACTGACTGACTGACTGACTGACTGACTGACTGACTGACGGACTGACTGACTGACTGACTGACTGACTGACTGACTGACTTGACTGACTGACTGACTGACTGACTGACTGACTGACTGACTGCACTGACTGAATGACTGACTGACTGATAGACTGACTGACTATATATAATATATATCATATTATATATATATATATATATATATATATATATTATATATATATATATATATATATATATATATATATATATATATATATATATATAGAAACTTCATGAGTCATATGGCTGAAGTCACACTGGCAGCACAAGGAAATATGATGCGCCCTAGGCAATACCAAATGTTATTTCAATGTGAAAATTAAGACAGTGCCCCATAAGCCATAACACTTTTTGCAGCATCGGCACATCATTATTATCACAATTTCTTAACAGAAAAGCCAATGTTGTTCATCCTGAAGTTTGCCAAATCTCAGCCAGAAACCAGAGGATAGATATATGTATATGCATATATATATATATATATATATATATGTATATATATATATATATATATATATATATATATATATATATATATATATATATATATATATATATGTATATATATATATATATATATATATATATATATATATATATATATATATATATATAGCACATACATATACATATAAATGGGCCAGAGCTTGATATTTGACATTGCAATCTGCATGCGTCATACGCACAGGCGGATCCTGGGGGGGGGGGGGGCCCGGGGCCATGCTCCCCCCAGAACTCTGAGAGTATGTTTTGCCCCCGAAAACATTCCCAGAAACTTCATGAAACTTTCGTCTACTGACGGTCTGTTTTAACTTTAACTGTTTTATCTGTTTTGTTTTAACTTCTGTTTAAGATTCAAAAGCATTTCGGTGCTTGGATGGTGTCCCTACTACGTACTCGCGAGGCACCATGCACTGGACCTCGGATCCCACACCAGCCAGCTGGAGACGAACGGTTGGCCCCCCCCCCCAAAAAAAAACAACCCCAGGCTAGATCTGCCCCTGGTCAAGCGTCAAGTGCTCCAATGTAAACATGGTCTTAGCTTAGTCAAATGAAAAATGGAGCAGCTGAGTCACGAGCTGAGTCAGATTCCACAATCTGTGAGCCAGTCCGGAGCTGGTTCAAGATATTTGAGTCAATCCCAAGTCTGATGCCAATAACATCTCGAGACTGGTGTCCCATTCCTTGCACTATTCGGATAACAATATCTTTTCCAATGCCCTGTAGTCCATGATATATCATTATCATGCTCAGCCGGTAAATAACACTCTTCTGTCAACTACCTGAGAGTCTCTTCAGGCACGCCTCCCAACCACTTCCACCATCTGATTCCACTGACCACCAACCGACCGACCTCGCCGCGCACTAGGAACAACTCGTATTCAAATGGGAATTGAGATCCCAAAATGGTGAAGGGTTTCTACTCCCATCGACAGAAAAGGAATTCGCGACGTCCACCCCTAAACAGTCTCATTTCCTCTGGTCAGCCTTGGGTTACCGGGCCGCTCTGTTTAGTATCTATACGTGCTAAACTCTACCACTTCTGGAACGAATCGGTACAAAACCCATTTTCCCTCTTAACTAGCTTACGTACTAAATATTCTCGAGGATGCGTTGCGTTTGGATGCGGGCCCGAGCCCGGCGGATCAGCACGTTGTTGTCGTTATTTGACGGTAGGTGGGTTAAAGCGTGTGCTGGTGAGCAGCAGCGGACCTGGGCACTGGATGCATTGCAAGGAAAGATTGTGTGTGGTATGTTAGAGAGATTCGGCTGTAACCCGCAAGCAGAATCCGTCGTTCAGTCTTGAGTCTGGCGCGCCATGCTGTCTGGGATGCAGGAACAGCTTGCCTCCATCGCTCACGGAATAATTTTTTACATTCTTTTCAGTGTATATTTGTGGAGAACAAAGTGCTTTTGGGGCTAAAAACACCAAGAAACACCGACGTTTTAGACAATGCGTGCCTTAAATATAGTGTACAGGGTTGGGTTCCATGCTTCCAAGGAAATAAAAGTAGAATGGAAAGCATACAGCAAAAAGCAAGTAGGATGATAAGTGGAATTGGTGACTCAGCATGTAAGGATGGGCATAGGACCATGTGGATTTGTATTAAGTGAAATATTCTAGACTAAGAGGATGTGATAAGAGATATTCAAGATGCTGAAAGGGATAGGTCAGGTAGACTGATATGGAACACTGGAAATTAGGCTGAGGTGTAAAGTAAACCAGTTTCCTTTCACAAAAGGTAGGAGTAGAACTATGAATAGGCAGATAACATTTGGTTAAGAAGTAGTGAAGCATGGGGATAGGTTAACAAACAAAGTTGTAGGAAGTCTCTCTAGCAACATTTTAGAACTAGACAAGTTTTATTAGTCTGAAGATCTTATCAATACCCAAATTCATGCAGTTCAGGTGGTGAGATTACTTTTCAGGATGTGTGCAGAACCTGAGGTAGGCCAACTGTGATGAGCCCTTGTGTCTCTTTGGTGGCTGGATGTCTATATACCTTTGTGTCAATGTAAATGTAAGCCCTGGGCTACTCTGTTATGAATTCCTGGTTGCAGTCCTATCAATAATTTTTTATTGGTGGTGGGTTGGGAAAGTTTGTCATTTCAGGTGCTTTAATCAAACTAGTGATTGCATGCTGACTTAGTCACTCACTTGCATTTTGTAATCTTTCAGGCTGTCAGGTGTATTGCAGGCTGTTAGATGTCAGGTGTTTCTGCACAGCATGCAGCCACTGCCCCATGCCACACCATTGTGTTTATCTGCCCCACAATTATATATGCAATTATGTCATGTGATTTTAATTTTATGGCATGCTGTTGTGTGTATGTGTGTGGGTGTCAAAGTCAGGCTAGGCTGAATTTACCTGCAGCTTCATATTAATGTGTGAAGGATATTCAAAGAGTGCATTTGTCTTAAATGCCTCTGCAATGTTTTGATAGCCTGCAGCAATTGCCTTTGTGTGCAATGAAATTAGTGGTGCCCATATGCTATGTTTGAGTTCTTGTTGAATTTACAGTATGCATGCACTGCAATTATTGCTGCAAGGCCAGCCTACCAGGGGCTAGTTGGACATGTTTGTGGTAGCACATACTTTGTTTTGGATTGTTTTTATTTTCCTGGACCATTGCAGGTCCTTTGAAACAAACCTATGTCACCTTACTGGTATGGAAATCAGGCATTGTGAGGCCAAGGCCTGTGGGTATTGGATGCAGCTCTATTCAGGCTCCGATTCATATCATTTACTCTCATTTGGTGTCATTGCTGTCAGGTAGCATTGGGTCTCATTGTTGTGTGTTATTTAGGCCCGGTGAGGGTCAAGCTTTCATTTAAATTGCATAAGTGTTGTAAGCAGTACCATGTGAGGAAGAAGAGAGTTTGTTTTCCTCATGCTACATAATTCCCATGTTGGATCCAGCAAAGTTGAGAACTCATTTCCCTGCAAGCATATAGATAGATCCATGCAATCATTTTAAAGTTGGCTCCATGTTATTTTGCAGCTTCACAGTGCTGCAATACTCCTTTGAGGTGAGGGATATTTCCTCGATGTAATCCTTAGATGTTTATTTACAATGGAAAAAAACAGTCTGGACTCACACCAACTGATTATGTGTATGTACGCAGTTCCACCTGTTTAGATGCCTTCCCTGATGAATTGGTGAAGTGTGGTGTAATCTAGCTGGAACCTGATTCATGCTGTCTCTCAAGGTTAAGGCATCACATGGCATCTTTTTTCTTGGTGCAAATTGGGATGGCTCTTAAATATGTATGTCCCATTACAAAACCTTTTTACACTGCTATTCACTCATTTTGTTTGATTTCAGCCCTCCAGTTTGCTGAGCTGGGGATTCAGCCATGGACGACTCTTCCGAGCATCTGTTGGCCATTATATTGGACACAAATTTGACATCAGTAGTTGCGAATGGCGATGAGGTTGGGCCTGTGCTCGACGCCATCCTGGTCTTTTGCAATGCTCACCTGATGGCTAGCACCTCTAATATGCTATGCCTGATCGTGGCTCACGCGGACCAGAACCGGCCCCTGTTTCCGCCTGAGGCAGAGGACGCTCATGCGCAGGGGCACTACGAGTTGTTCTCGCAGTCCTGTGCCGACATCGTGCGGCAGCTGAAGGACATGATGGAGGAGACGCCGCCGGGGTCGCACACCAGCGCGCCAATGGCCGCCGGCTTGGCCATGAGCCTGTGCTTTATCAACCGCATCAGTCGGGAGCGGCCGCCGCAGGTGCGGCTGCAGAAGCGGGTGCTGGTTGTCACGGCGCACGGCACCGTCGCCGCCCAGTACATGGACTTCATGAACGTGTTCTTCACAGCGCAAAAGCTGGCGATTCAGGTGGACGCGTGCGTGTTGGGTCAGGAATCGGGCGTGCTGCAGCAGGGTGCCGACATCACGGGTGGGATCTGTCTGCGCACACCGCACGCGCGCGGCCTGCTGCAATACCTACTCTGGGTGTTCCTGCCGTTCGGTGAGCAGCGGCAAAAGCTGGCGCTGCCGGAGCCGCCCGTGGTCGATTATCGCGCCGCCTGCTTCTGCCACAGGCAGTTGGTAAGCGTCGGCTTCGTCTGCTCGGTCTGCCTCTCCATCTTCTGTAAGTTTGCGCCCATCTGTTCCACGTGTCACACGGTATTCAAAGTCAAGGGCATGTCCCTACCGAAGCCTACCAAAAGAAAACGGGCGAAGCACGGGCTGTGATGCTTCTAGGATGCTACGATGAACGCCGACCATAGTGCAGCAATATCATCACTGGGCGTCATCGCCGCACTGCAATACTGCTTTATGGAAATAAGGTTGGATGTGCCTTATATGATTGATTCCTACCATGAAAATACATTACATTCATGTGGAAGGAACTAGCGATATGTCGATGGCCCTCCACCATATACAACCAAGATGCTGTCTAAAGCTTACCAGTCTCACGCAGATGCGGTTGTGGCACGTGTCGTAGCGCATTTATTGCGATGGTACAACGGTGCGACGCTGTAATTTACTCGCAAAATTATACTTTTTGTGAGCTGGATGTTGTTCAGGTACGGTTCACAGAAACCCCAGTTCACCAGTTTATTGGCATAAATGTAACTTAAGTCTCACACATCTCGATCACTTCGGCAACAAAAAAAGACTCACTGATGCGCAAGCTTCGTTTAACATACGCTGCCGCTACGACACTGTATTATACCCTTGCTTCCTACGGCGGTACGCGGGGAGTTGCGCCCAACGAGCATACATATTGGAGTGATCTTGCACAGCCGGCCCTGAGTCATGTAACGCTGTGCCGCAATACTCACATCAGAGACACCTGACAGCCTGAAGTGCGCCCGGCGCTCCTCCAGTTCAAACGTACTTATTCGGGTATTGCGAAAGTCTGTCCGTTAAACCTTGACAACAGCCTTGCCGGTGTTCTGACCGGCCAGCATGCCCATGAAGGCGTCCGGCAGATTCTCGAAGCCCTCTGTGATGGTCTCCTCGGCTCGGATGCTGCCGTCCTCGACCCAGGCGCGCATCTGGTCCACGCCCTCCTGCCACCGGTCGGACCAGCGTGACACGATAAAGCCCTCCAGGCGCAGCTGCTGGCTCAGGATAGGCATCTGCAGCATGGGCACGAGCGTGCGCCGGCCGGGCGGGTCGTTGTAGCCGGCGATGCAGCCGCAGAGCGCCACGCGGCCGAACAGGTTCATCTGGCACATGACGGCGTCGCTCAGCCACCCGCCGACGTTGTCAAAATAGCAGTCCACGCCGCCGGGCGCCGCCTCACGCAGCGCCCGGCTCGGCTTGGCCGTCTTGTAATTGATGGCGTGGTCGAAGCCCAGCGTCCGGAGCCAGTCGCACTTGGAGTCGGAGCCGGCGAAGCCCACCACTGTGCAGCCCTTCTTTTTGGCGATCTGGCCCACCAGCGTGCCGACGGCCCCCGCGGCGCCTGACACGACCACCGTCTCGCCGGCGGTCGGCCGGCACAGCTCCAGCAGGCCGAAGTAGGCCGTGTTGCCCGGCATGCCACACGCGCCGACGGCGTGCGAGCGCGAGAGGGCGCCCATCTCTGGCATCGGCGCCGTTGCGAACGGCAGCAGGCCACCCTCGTCCCGACTCGGGTTGCGCACGGCGTGCGTCCGCCACCCGAGACCGCCCACCACGTACGAGCCCTCTGGGTAGTCAGGACAGCGACTCTCCAGCACGCGCGCGCACTGCAAACCGATCATCGTCATAGGCACTTGGTAGTTGGGCGTGTAGGCGCGCTGGTAGGGGTCAACGCTGATCCACTCAGCTTCGCAAAGGTATTCGCCATCTTTCAGGCCCGGAAGAGGCTCCTCTCTGAGTTCAAAATCCGTGTGCTTCGGGAAGCCGTCAAAGTGCTGGACGAGGACCCATTTCCTAGACCTAACTGCAGAAGAGTAGGCTGCTGCTCTTATTCTTGACACGTTTAGGTGGGACGAGAGGTTCGTCCACAATCTTGATGTAAGGAAGGTCCCCATCGAGAAGAAATATCGTCACTGCTTGGAGTTGACAAATCTGAAAACGTGTGTTTCGACATGGTTAAATAGACTTGGTCTCAATTAGACATCAGGACCTGTTTGGAAGAAGCTCTCGCCGCTCCCATGCATCAGGGTAGTGAAGGTATTTGGTGGCGCGGAATTGTACCTCGGGGCGGAGTCTAGCTCAACTGTACCTAACGAGCTACGAACCTAATTACAACTCAGGACCTATGATCAGGTTGGACGTCTTCCATACACATCACAAAAACTCAGTTGGATGTGCTCTGTACACATCACGAGAATTCGTTCTCTACAGGTAAATTATTTTATTAGTTTTATTAGAAAATTAGTCACAACTTTTCCGAAGTGGTTTTGGCACTGCATTATGAGAACAATGTGACCTAGGTCAGACCAAATGTCACCACTACGGTGCCCTAGGCCTCTCACTTTTCCTTTGAATGCAAAGGTGACTATGCTTATTGGCATGTGGGGGATAAGAAGATTTTGTGGTATGGGTTATGGGGGAAACAATGGTGGGTGTTGATAAGTTTCCCGTGGACGTGCATGGGGGCAGGGGGCGGGCCCTCACTCCTAGCTGTTTGGTGGTTTGAGGTTGTAGGGGTGGGTTAATTTGATGCCTCGAAGCCCTCTCCAATGAGTGTTATGTACTAACACTAAGATGCAATTGTGTTGAAGCTCAGCCATAGCCTCATTGACAGATTAGAAATCTATGTTGTGTATGAACCAGGAATGAAAGAAAGGAAGCTGCTCCATGAACTTACATATCTTGTCACAACCTTTGTAGGAGACTTCTACACTATATGTAGTATGGAAAAGCCTGGCTTGGCTCCACACTTCCACAAAAACCAAATCATTCAGACAGAGGGGGGCACAGGCAGCATGTGAATGGGTTGATGGCGGCATGGGTTGACATTTCTCACTTAAGATTTCTCCTTAAGTTGTGAATAGATTCAATAGTGCTCAATCTGATGGCCAATATTGAAGAAAATATCATTCAAATGTAAAAGAAAACCCAAATGTAAGAAAAACAAAAAAGGTCACAGTCACTTGGAGCAGACCAAGTGACTGTGACCAACTGTGAGCAACAAATGGCCAAGTGCCTTTTGGGAAACAATTGTGAGTGTGAGGACAGGAAGACTGGTTGCAGCCACACTGAAACATTGTGTGCATGATGTTATGTATGCGCTGAGTGTACGCCAGATAAGCCTATGTATGCCCTTTGGGTCAGCATCACCGGGCATGGCTTACATTGGCGCCTGGCATTGCGATATGAAATTGTTCACAAATTGATGTTTATAGGATACAAGATGCCACTGAACAATCAAAAAAGGGAAAACTGCATGGACAACTCACCACCTAACCTTCAAAATATAATAATTACGAAAAACGCCGCGGACACCTGCGAACCTCGGTCAATCAAATTGTTGGCACGATAATGACGCGTCAATGCCATCAATGCCTTAGATAGCCTTGTTAGCCTTGAATGCGTTTAGATAGTCAATACATTAAATAGCCTTGAATGCCATCCCGTGCACCGTTTCTCATGACCACATGGAACCCCATCTCTTACGACGTGTTGAGCAGCGACGTTTCGTGAACTGATCAGCCGGTCCTCATTACAGACTTAAGCCGACGCCCTTCCCTCCGCAAAACATTGTCGGCCGAAAGGTAAACAACAATGAGGCGGGCATAATTGTCACGTAGTCTGCCGCATGGGGTTGCTGGGCAGGAGTGCACAGTGCCGTTGAGCGGCTTTCATGCTTGAAAATATCTATGGAGTCCCAATGTGTATTCTTGTATGACATTTGCCAAAACCCACAATAGATAGACTGGTGCGTTGTCAACACAGCACACCATTGATACCTGCTTTGTGTTTAGGACTATGAGATTATGTGCTCCAGTCCCTGTCAGTCTGTACCATGTCTACCCAAGTACCCATCATAAAAAACCGGCAGGCAATGCCAGGGGAAATTCACGTGGCACCACCTATGTAATCAGACAGATACAGATGATGCAAGAAAACAGTAGACAAGTGGCTTATCAGTTAATAGCTCAGTAAACTAAATCACATTGTCTTCCTCAGGCATTCAGCATTTTATCAAGATATAGTGGCTGCATCAGGATGCTTTCCAGCTGCTTGACAAGGTTTCTATATGCTTTTTTATTACAGTGATACAACTTGTCACTTTGTTAACAAGTAAAAGCTGCTTATATTCTGTAGTCTTTGAATTGCCCCAGAGCCAATATGATATTATAACAATATTGGGTCTGGCAAAACAGTTGAGGCTTTTTCAAAAGAAACAATGTGTAGTAACAAGTGCAGATGATATGTTTTCTGGCATGGTGGCAAAGATTTATGGCACATATCGTGATTATGACATAACACATTTTCCAGGGGACTGACATTAGCCAAATCTGTGGCTGCCATCCGTCATATCAGCATCTTTCATGGAAGGCTGGGTCGCCAAACTGTGCAAGATGGTAAGAAGCATCAACAAGCAGTATGACAGCCGAATGGCAATGGCCAAGCCAAGGTCACAGGCATGAGCTGTCTGCAGTTGAATTGGTCTGTAAAATCAGGACATTTTATACTGACAGATTGTTAGAAGGTTGTTTTCATGTTAAGGCCACACATCCTTCTTGTCATATGTATTTTGTGTTTTTTTGTGTGATTACCACCTGCATCTATGATTATTCCCAGCCTAGGTCTCATCTGGATCTCATATTCAGGCAATTATCAGGTTTGTGGAAGGATTGCTGTGACAGGAGTTTGTAGCATCAAATGTTCCAAGCATGCAACAATGCAAGAATATTAATTCAAAAGTGTTAACAGATGGAGGTTTGTCTTGTAATGTAATGGGAGCAGGGATTTACTAGGGCACAAGGGTTCTACTTGGCTGGAGCTGTAATCATCTAACAGTGGCAGTGATTGCACAACTGGAGCTGTAGCTTGCTGTCAGAAGTGGGTGTGCGGCCAGAACGGACTGCTTTGTGATCCCACAGCTGGAACTGTAGCCGTCCACTGCGGTCATTGATCACACAGCGGGAGCTGTAACTGTCCACTACGGTCAGTGATTGGGTGGCTAGAACTGTAGCCACCTACTGTGGTCAGTGATCAGGTGGCTGGGGCTGTAACTGTCCACTTTCGGCAGTGATCGCGCAGCTGGAGCTGTAACCGCCCGTTGTCGGCAGTGATCGCGCGACTGGACTGAAGCTGGCTGCTGTCGGCAGTGATCGCGCAGCTGGAGCTATAACCGCCCGCTGTCGGCAGTGATTGCGCGGCTGGAGTCGCTGACAGGCGCGCAGACGTCATTCGCGCCGCAGCAGTCGTCAGACCGGGCAGCGCTGGAGCGGATCCTGCCGCGCAGTCAGGACGAGCTGCCGGCCCGACGCATGTCCGACAGCTACGACGAGGCGTTTATTCCGCTCGGCAGCGACCTCAAGCTGCGCGACAAGTACATCAACTACATGGGCGGCGTGCGCTCCGGCCGCCTCATGGAGGACATCGACGTGTTCGCCGGTGAGTCATCGGTGCACGAGCGGTGGTCAGGCGACGACAGGTGGCGTGGCTGCTCTCGCACCTGCTAAACTGTTGGCATTATTTTGGTACTAGAACATAGGTGAATAGGAATGTTTGAAGCAGTGCATATGCTTGTTTGTTGTTTTTTTTTTTGCTCGCAAAGAAACGTTGACTGAACTAACGACATTACACGGGATACATTGCAGAACTGACACCGTTGTTGTTGATGAAAATGACCGTGCTTTGCGTTTTATCCAACATTTATATGCCAAACCTGTTACGGGCCATTGTTCCAGTGTGGCTGTGCTATCGGTACGTGCTGAACCCCAAACAGCTCCCGAACATGCCAAGCCCATTCTGCATTGTCACTGCACTGGTGGATCGCATCGACTTCTCGGCCCACAATCTGAAGGTAGTCCCGATGTGGACTCACTAAGGCGCTGTTTGTCGCTATTCGTATTATCTAGCTGTGATGAAGAACTGAATTGAAAGGCCTCTTGGGAAGGAATGGGAGGGCTAATTTTAGAGCATGAACAACACCTGGGCACGCTGCCGTGACAGACATAGGCCGCTCAAATGGAGGGATATTGTTGCTGTCTGTGGAAACCGTGAAGCTGGGCTACTTATCGCAATACGTGGCCGTTACGGTGGCACGGCGGGTTACTGGCTGCCCTGTGTGCAGCAGCTGCCTGTGCTGCCGGCCACCCCGCGTCGCCCGTGCGCCCCGGCTGACCTGTGTACAGCAGCTGCCTGTGCTGCCGGCCACCCCGCGTCGCCCGTGCGCCCCGGCTGACCTGTGTACAGCAGCTGCCTGTGCTGCCGGCAGCCTGACGCCGATATCCGGCTCTCGGGCAAGGTGACGTACGTAGGCACCAGCTCGATGGAGACCACCGTGGTGCTGGAGCAGCTCAGCGCTGGCCAGTGGCAGCAGGTGAGCTGGCCGCCGTCGCCCGCCGCCGCCACCGGCCGGCTGCGCTGCCCTCAGCGCTGCCTGCGACGGTAGCCGGCAATGACTCATGCTGGTGACCGGCCGGCCGCTGAGAGGCGTGGCAGTGCTCAGCCGGGAATGACGCCGGCAGTTTCGTAGAGAGAGCACAGGCAGAGGGAGGCAGGAACATCTCGATGGGAAATTTTTGTTACCATTTTGATCTACGCCATGGACGAAGAATATCAGCTGTTTTTCGGGCACTCAGGTGCTGGGGGCTCCTCCCTCTGAGCTGAGGCTCGTGCCGACCGGCCGCAGGTGACAAAGGCGGAGATGGTGATGGTGGCTCGGGACCCGCTCAACAAGGGCTCGGCCGTGGTCAACCCGTTGCTGGCCGAGACGCCAGAAGAGGTGGAGATGGTCAAACAAGGCAACGGTACGTCCGCTCCGGCCGGGCTGGCATGAAGGCCGGCAGGCACGGGCGCAGTGCTGGCGCGCCAGGGGCTATGTGCAGCGTTGACCGGTGACGAAAGGTCCGTGCACTGTTGCTCCGTGCGATGATCTCTGTTAGGCTTCTTCGTCCTGACTGGATGCTGTCACCCGATTGTCCAAGTACTTTTCTCTGCTGAAGCGTGACCTATCAGTACGCTGTGCGGCACACCCTCGTTCTGTGTACGTGTGCGCAGGGGCGACGGTTGCATTCGGGCCCGCCGCTGCGTCTCCAGTGTCTCACGGCGCCCGCGCCTGTCCATCGCTCCAGTGAATAAGCTGCGCAGAAAGCAGATGTCGGAACAGTCGCTGTTCAAGCTGCCGCCGACGCCGTCCGAGGTGGCGCTCATCCACCAGGTGTTCATCGACACGGTGGACCACGGCACGTTCCGGCAGCGGCGGCCCGACGACGCGCTCTTCATGAGCGAGGCTAAGCTGAAGAACCTCATCATCTGCCATCCGGAGGTCAGGCACCATCATGGGGACGCGTCGCGGAGGTGCTGCGGCCATTCGGGCTTGGTGAATTCTGGTGCGACAGCAGGATTGGCGGCTCATCAAGAATGAAAGTACAAACTGGTGAAATCGGGACATTCCCCGATGTCGGTTGAGTCCTGATGCTGTGGCTGGCATGAGAGCTCGACATAGGGTGCGAGTTGGCTGCATCCTGCTTTGACCCAGCTCAGTTGTCTGGAGACATATTCGTTTAAGATATGCCTTGCCAGACTGTTGTTACGTTACGAGTTACGTAGGGCGTTCTTCGGCTGTAGGCTGGTTTGGGTCGCAGCGTCGTGGCATAAATCAGCCGGCATGCTCATAACCACCACCTGTTCGGGAATTCTGTGTTACCGCGCTCAGCTGTTCACCGGCACCGAGGTGCCCGAGCCAAGCACGTACACTTAGTGCTGGCTTTGTGGATGTTTCAGCACCGGAATCGTTTTGGCCGAATCTTTGGCGGGTTTCTCATGCGTCAAGCCATCGAGCTGGCCTGGGCAAACGCCATGGTCACTAGGTTAGTACCCTGATAATGAGCTCCGAAAGCCTTGGCTTTGGCTGGCGCCCCTCCGGGGGACACTGGGCGATCAGGCAATATCCGTGTAGTGTGTATTCGAGCCGGTGTACGCACCGTGGGTTGACTCGATAGCTGGGCTGGGCCTGGCTCAGCCCAGCCCAGTTGTACTGTTGCACTCGCGCTGTCGTATCTGTCCAATTCAGCATGGAGTTTGGGGACATTTCGCTGGCACACCATGTGTCTAGAACTAGGATTTGTCTCTCCTATCGAATATTCTGCGTCACCAGATCGTCCATCTACATACACCGTCACCATCTCCGTTACTGTGGACAGTACGGCGCCATATCCCGTGCCGTATTCCTAAGAAACACCGGCCAAGCTATTCTGGTCCCTGCCAGCGCAAACAGCTGTTTCCATGGCGCATCAGTGTCGTCTCGATGAACTTCTCTCAGTCGCGTTATGTAATGCGTTTGGTATAGTTATACACGTTGGCGAACGTAGGGTTTATTGGTGATATGACGGACACATTTCAGTGATTATGCGGTTGTCTCCGGTGGTTGATAAAGATGGCTGCTTGCGCCGTCAATGTTCTTTCCTGATTTACGTTGATACGGCCACGACACCCTCATATTCGGTCGACCCGAACCTCTGGAGGCGAATGAGGCTGCCTGTGAATGTCTCGATGTGTGTGTGTGTGTGTGTCACCGTTTTCGTATGATGGTTGGCTTTTGATGTTGCGTAGCTGTCCGATGCCACCGTATTTTATTTCTGCGTTTGTTGAGAAATCGCGCGGGGCGGAGTTTCGGGACTATTTTTCATGCTTGCAACGTTTGCGAAATGCACGATGCGTTCAAGGAACCCCATAGTCAGCTAAAACGCCATTTGTGTAGCCTTTTCAGTTTCTTGATATTTAATGAGCAGCATGTTGGCCCGAAACACAGTGTAAGTTAACAAATGTCGTAGCCTGGTCTGTGCTAGTGTATTGATTTATGTCTATTGTATATATGCATTCATCTTGCGTCCATTGTCTGCCTGGAATCTTGTATTCTTGAACTGTTTTTATCTTTATAAACATGTTTGAAGGCATTGCTTTGCTCTGGTTGTTGGCTTTGCATGCTGCCGTAAAACTCGCCGCACGCCTTTCATGCCTCGATCAACCACGCGATCCTAAACACTTCATGCTGGTAACGTCGCAGCGATGAGCCGCTGTTGAATTGCTTCGGGTTCCAGTCCTATTTTCCAGATAGGTGAGGCGCGCGCGTAGAATTCCCGAGCCGGTGGTGGTGACCCGATGACTTGCGCTCTGACTGCCCTCCCGCCCCACCGCCAGAACCGCAACGTGTACGGTAAAATCTTCGGCGGATACCTGATGAGACAAGCGCTGGAACTGGCGTACGCCAGCTCGCTGATGTACATCAGTAGGTCAGTGGCCGACGGCGCTGGGCGCATTAGGCGGAGTACACTGCCATTGGATCAGGGGCCGTCAGCTCCGGTGCCGTCGGGCTGGCCAGCGGTCCTCAACTTGGCGTCACACCGGGCCGACAATGTTCAGACAATGCCAGTCTGTGTGTAATGACACAATGGAAAACACCCTCCACTGTCCAGCTGGGTGTCACGCTCTGAATTTTGCTATGCTGTTGACATGTACGGTTTTTTCAATTACTGCAGTACATTTTTGCAAAAGTAGAAAATATCGTCTTGACTACCCAAATTCAAAAACGTCCACCGTGAAGCTCTGTAGCTGTCTTCGGAGCTATTTTCAAATTGATTTCAAAGGAAATGTTATTGGAATAATTGGAGTTTCTTTGTCGTTCCCACTGACTCTAGATTAACAGGTGACAACTTGATGGGCATATGCGCGTGGCTTGCCACAGGACGCTGCGCTCATGGGCGGAACGTACTGCCATTTGGAGATGCTACTGCTTCTCCAACCTTTTTATAAAAAGTTAGCATTAGGTCCGTGGTGTTTTATGAAAAGCATGAACGCACAAATCCCATATGGGACATTTTTGGTGAAGTTCCGCTCCTGATCGCACCCCGCGCTCGGTCATCTGCCGCGTGTTACGATGACCTGACACCTTCAGCATGTGACACCACGTCGAGCTCCGCCTAACCGACGCTGCCTCCGACGCCGCCGCCTCCTGTCTCCGAACCTGGACGCCTGCTTACCCGCATGTTCCATCATGAACATGCGCTTACTGCTGAGGATGCCGTGCCATTGTCCGTGGCTTTCAGCTTGTATTGTTATAAGCGGCCTCCAGCCTGTACTGCGATAAGCATGTCCAACGTCCGCGCACGCTTCTTCGACGACCGGTGGCGTTGTATTGCGCCTGAGGCAGCTTTCTCTCTTTTGTTCGCTTCCGCTGTTTAAATTCTAAAACACATGTCAGTGCATGGTGGCCGATCGGTCACAGACTCGGTGCGTCAGCTGTTCCGGCCATCTCCTGATGACGCCCCCTGTCGTGAGAGTCGGCTGGTCTCGTCCGAGTGCGGTCGCTGTGGCAGCTTTTGGAGTGCCCCGGCAGTCGTTCTGTGCCGTCCGTGTGCGTCTCCACCGCAGTGCTTCAGCTGCGGGGGCGGCCAGTTCGCCCCGTCCTGGCTGTGTCCATGGTGTCCGCTGTGTGCCTCTCGTTCACGGATGCCAGTTTTTCATCTAGATAAGCCTGAACGCTACCTCCCCAGCCAGTACCTGCGCTCTGGCCCAGTGTAGCTCCCTGCTGCTGCCTGGATATCCAGACCGAGCTAGGCGGAGGCGGCCGACGGGCGCTCTGCCGCACACGGCGCCCACACCGTCCTTGCTGCTGGGATCCCGTCCACACGCACTCTCACACGGTCCAACAGACACCTGGCGGGATACTCGGTGCTTAGTAGGCGGGTTCGCTGTGGGGCGCGCGTGCGCGCGCGATGCTTGGTATGCCGCTCGGCGACCCGCACTGTAGCTGACCTGTATTCGTGTGTGTGCGCGCTTCTCTCCGTCCAGCGGCAGCCGGCCTCGCCTCACTCACGTTGACGACATCCTGTTTCGGAAACCGGTGGACGTGGGCTCGCTGCTGTATCTACTGTCGCGGGTGAGTGCACTCATTACTGCACCTCGGAGGTCGGGTGAGTGCACTTAGTACTGCACCTCGGAGGTCGGGTGAGTGCACTCAGTACTGCACCTCGTAGGTCGGGTGAGTGCACCAGTACTGCACTTCATAGATCGGGTTAGTGCACTCAGTACCGTACCTCGTAGGTCAGGTGAGTGCACTCAGTACTGCGCCTCGTGCGTCGTGTGGGGGCACTCAGCACTGCACCTCGTACGTCGGGTGGGGGCACTCAGTACTGCACCTCGTACGTCGGGTGAGTGCGACACTACTTGCTCTCTACCAGTCGTGTGTGGTCAGTCGTCTACCTGCTCTCTCGGTTGAGTGCAGTCACTCCTCTGCCCGCTCCCTCTGGTGAGTCCAATCATTCTTCTACCCGCTGTCTTTGGCGAGGGTAGCAACTCCTCTTCTTGATCCTCGAGGTGAATGCATTAAGTCTTCTGCATACTACTGTCGGTATGTGCAATCACTCATTTACCTGACCTCTCAAGCTGGTGCAGTGAGTTCTCCCCGCTCAGGTGAGTGCAGTCACTATGCCACCAGCTCTCTGTGGTGAGTGAAGCCACTCCTCTACCTGTCTCGGGTGAGTGCAGCCACCTGTCCGTCTGCTCTCTCAGGTGGGTGTTCTCTCTCTCTCTTTCTCCTCTGCCCGTTCTCTATGATGGATGCAGTCACTCCTCCGCCTGGTATATGGGACAAGTGAAGCGCAGTCGCTGCTCTACCTGCTTTCTTGGTTGAGTACAGTCTCTCCTCTACCCGTTCTCCCGGGAGAGTGCAATTACTCCTGCACCTACCTTACCGGGTGCTTGCAGTCACTGCCACGTGCTTCATGGGGTGAGTGTAGCCAGCCCTCCACCTCCTTCCCGAGCTAGATGCACCATGCTGTCTCCCTTGGTATCACAGGGCGCAAAGTATGCACAAATAAGTGTCCACCGTCCAGAATGTTTTTGTTGAAACTATACGAATGGTATGGGTGCGACGTGCAGCTTTTGTTCAATTTGTTTGCTATGAGATCGAAACACAAGCTAAATGCGCGGTTAAAAGTGTCTAAAAGCGTTGATACATATAGCTGAGTTAGTAAACTATTCACCTATTCCATGTACACACAGAGCGTGTCAAAGGTTTTTGTCTCAGGTTGACCGGGGTTTATTCCGGAAGTGACCGCGACTCGCCATGCACCTCGCCGCAACTCTCTGAGATTCCGCCCCCCCCCCCCGTCCGTTCCCGCCTGTTGGTCATGTGTGGGCACAGAGGGGCGGCGACACGGTCGGTCGGAGCGCTAACAGCTGCCGGCGGCGCCAGGTCGTCTACACGGAACACAACAACCTGCAGCTGTGCGTCTCGGCAGAGGTGGTGCACCCGCGGCTCGGCACGCGCGACCTCACCAACGTGTTCTACTTCACGTTCAGCGCCAAGGAGCCGGTGAAGGTGATCCTGCCGCAGACTTACCACGGTGAGGCCGGCCGGCGGCTGCAGTGCTGCCGTGGGGATGGCGATGGTGGGGTCATCTTCGTTTCAGGGGCGTGATGCACATCGTTAATGCCGGCCGTCGGAGACATGTTGCGGAGATGTTCTGAAGTGGTCCCCAACACAACCACAATTTAAATATGACGTGTGCTGTATTTTTGGTGCCAAATCGCAGCCGATCTCATTTGAAGTGACAAGTACATGCAGTACGCGCACGGTATGTGCTATGGATGTGTTTGCATGCTTTGTCTTCTGCTTCAGAGATGATGATGTTCCTGGACGGCCGACGGCACTACCAGGCGTTGATCGGCGAGAAGAAGTTCTACGGCCAGGCGGATACCGTGGAGGATGCGCACAGCGGCATGTAAAGCCATGCGACTCAGAGGGGGGGCGAGAAGGGCTCGGTCACAGGAGGCCCACCTCTGCTGTGTCTTGGCGAGCCCTCGACCGTTCGCCCTCGGACCAGCATGTCCCGACGCTTTAAATGACACGAAGAACTCCCGATCTTGCGCACCACGGCTTTCCTCGGCGGTGAGCCTGACCAGCAGTGCGAGGTGTTCACAGGGCGGGCTGGTGCGGACTGCCTGCCGTCTGCCGGGCACCAGCTACGTCAGCCGCCCCCCCCCCCCCCCGCGCGCCGCACGTACAGGACTCGCGGCTGAAGCGACGGCCGTCCGCCTGCTCCGGCTTGTCGGCAGACTCGGTGGACTCGGCGCTCTGTCGTCAGACCCGGTGCTCTGCCGGCGGACTCGGTGCTCTGTCGGCAGACTCGCCGCTCTGTCGACGGTCTCGGTGGACTCTTGCTCTGTCGACGGACTTGGCGGACTCGGCGCTCTGTCGACAGACCCGGCGCTTTGTTGGCAGACTCCGTGCTCTGTCGCCTGATCCGGTGGACTCGGTGCTCTGTCGACAGACCCGGTGCTCTGCCGGCAGACTCGGTGCTCTGTCGACGGTCTCGGTGGACCCTTGCTCTGTCGACGGACTCGGTGGACTCGGTGCTCTGTCGACAGACTCGGTGCTCTGTCGACGGACTCGGCGTTCCGTCGGCCGGCTAGTTTAAGGACCGCGCACGAGGCGTGGACGCGACTGAGACCTGGTCGCTTTACGGGTCTCGGAAGCCTTTTCTTTGGTTTCCCTTTCCGCTCCATTGCATTTCACAGTGACCTGATGCCTAATGCTAACGTCGGCAAGCTGGCAGCGTCTGCCGATGAGATCTGACCACATGGCGTGTGCATCCTCTAAACCCGTACTCGCGTCGCAGATCATCAATCTTAATGCCGTTCCCGGGCTGGTACTGGCTTGATGGTGTTTCTTTTGCTCCGTATTGACCCGGATCGAAAGAGTGCAGAACTGGAAGGCACACTGATGGAACCATTGCGTGTTGCGAGGAATATCCTCCATACTCTGTTGCCGTAGCAGGTTCGATCGTTACAGTTTAACCAACCAGGTTCCACTTTGTTTACTGTGTATTAGTTATTCACATCGTTTGCTGTGGCTAAAAAAAAAAGAAAAAAAGCATTTGTACCATACTGTCTGTACTGTCGACTACTCACCTAACCATATAACAATTTCGCTGCAACGTAACGCAGTGTAATGCAATGAAATGTCATTTATCCATTAACGTGTGGAAGTTGGCGGTCCAGTTATGCCACTAGCCACCGCGCGGGCTGGCCACAGTGCGGGTTGGCCACGGCGCAGGTTGGCTACAGCGCGGGCTGGCCACAGCGCGGTTGGCCACAGCGCGGTTGGCCACAGCGCGGATTGGCCACGGCGCGGTTTGGCCACAGCGCGGGATGCGTAAGATTTCGTAGGCCGAGCGCAAGCCCCATACTGACCGACATTTCGAACTTGTCAGAGCGGTCAGATGATGTCCCATCAGCTTGAGGTGGGCGCTGTCATAGCTTGTTTTTGCATGGGACGACACAGATTGCGTTTGAAGTCCACAAAGAGATGGCCGCTTCACACCCATGCGCGGGCCGAAAGTGTTACGATTTCTGAGCTTGAAGGAAATGGTTCCAACAGGTATACTGGCATCCCCATACCGCCCCGCGGCCAGGATTGATAACGGCCTGGCCGCCAGCCTCCGCTACCGGCTGATGGTTGGCCAGGGGCGTAGCTCCGCATGATATGTTGGGGGGGGGGGAGAGGTAAAAAATGACCGGTAAAACGCTAAATGTTACGCCACTAGCTGTAAGGCGCAGCGGGTACAAATGTGTCTTTGAAAATATTGTTGATCTTCCAGCACTGTTCGAATGATGAGCGTGGTCATCTTCACATCCGTTTGGATCATGCTGTCCTTTCGTATACTACTCACGGCCATGGGTGAAGCCTTCCTTTGGGCGGACAAGTGGCAAACGCGTGCTGTTCGGACCACAGGAAGTATTCGTGAGAGATGGTATATTTCACAGCTGTGTTTCGAACACAACACGCTCCCTTGGAGGTTGCGAGGGACTAAAAATAGACTAAGAGCTGGCCAACAATGGCTCAGTCTCCACACCTCCCATGGAGGCATCCGCCGGGCCAGTTCACGTCTTGGCACCCACACCTTACAACAGGGCGTGCCGTCTCCCGCCCGACGCCACCGGCGCCGCAAACACCGCTACAGCCACCCGGCACGCGGCTCCCCGACGCTCGGTAGCCAGCATTGCGCCGCGTCGGAGTTGTCAGCCACGGGGCGTTCCTCTACCCGAGCCGCGCGCGCGGCGGCGTGGTGATCACGTACGCGAGTACCGCCCCCGAAGCCCCGGTACGCAGCGTGGCAGCGCGCGGGCGGCGCAGTGGCCTGGCCGCGCTCCGCGGGGCCGCCGGCGCACGCCGCCCGCCGCCCGTAATCTCGCAGCACATCACCGTCACTCATGGCCTCCAAGTGCCTGACCAAAACGCCGCCCCAGAGCCAGACAACCACGTCAGAGAGCTTAATGCCAGCACCTCTGCCCTGATGATGTCTTGTCGTTTCAACCCGTGGAGGAGTTGACGGACACAGCAGCGGTCAAATTGCCAACATGCACATTCGGGATCCCACAACGGGCTACCGGCTGAGCGGTCCACGTCAGGCGCATTCAGGTACACTACCGCTCTTCTTTGGAGGTCTTCTCTTTGGAACCGTCAATCACTTCGCCTATCTCCACACCCGCCTACCTGGCCAGGCCAAGCCGCCAGACACCTCCTCCACCTCCAGACACTCCAGCGCGGAGCACGCCGTCGTCGCGGCGTCGACTCGCAATCACCGCTCCTTCTTCTGCTGGCCTCCGACGGGAGGGAAGCGCACCACACGCAGCTCGGCGCCGACACGCAATCACCGCTCCTTCTTCTGCTGGCCTCCGACGGGAGGGAAGCGTAACACACGCAGCTCGGCGCCGACACGCAATCACCGCTCCTTCTTCTGCTGGCCTCCGACGGGAGGGAAGCGCACCACACGCAGCTCGGCGCCGTAGTCGCACACGATGGCGTCGCCGACGGCTGTCATTTGGCGCACGAACACGGAGCTGTCCCGGTCGCCGAGCCGCACCAGCCGCACTGGCTCGCCCAGCTCCAGGTCCCACACCATCAGCGAACCCTGGGTCAGGCCAGCCGGGTCAGACCGCAGCTTAGGGGCCAGGCCAGCCGGGTCAGACAACAGTGAGCCCTGGGCCAGGTCAGCCAGGCCATACATCAGTGAGTCCTGGGTCAGGTCAGCTGGGTCAGTAATCAGCGAGCCCTGGGCCAGGTCAGCTGGGTCCGACATCAGCGAGCCTCGGGTCGGGTCAGCCAGGACAGACGTCAGCGAGCTCTGGGTCAGCTCAGCCAGATCAGACATCAGCGAGCCGTGGGTGGGGTTTGCATGGTCAGACATCGGCCACTCCTGGGTGAGGTCAGCAGGGTTAGACATCAGCAAGCCCTAGGCCAGGTCGGACAACAGCCGCTCCTGGGTCAGGTCAGCCGGGTCAGACAGCGAGCCCTGGGTCAGGTCAGCCAGGTCAGTTATCAGCAAGCCCTGGGTCAGTGTAACAGCGTTAAATAACACTGTCGGTCACAATGCGCCACAGCTCTGAAGACAAGCATAAAATATCCAACAAACAGCGCGTTCCGTCAAATGAAGCTGAAACTTACATCAACTTTAAATTGCGCTCTCCGTTACGTATGCTGTCGGAAGACCATTTAATTCAACCCATGCGTTGGTTTCATTAATCGCGTAAGAATCAAAATATCATGGTCAACTGAACTTGACCCATCTCCCGGGCTTACCATGTGCGATTTACGAGAGCATGAGCTGTTTGCAGGTTCGCCTTGTGAAGCGAGCAGCGGCGTGCACCAGCCACCGCAGTGGTATCAAACCAACAGGTGCCATCCTGTCCTCCGCCACCTCAAAGTTCGACATCGGGGCAAAACACGGCACCGGGCCACCGACCGAGCGTCGGCGGCGCGCCCAATCCCCGGTCGATCCCCGTCACCCGACGGTCTGGGGCCGGCGCGGGCCCGCCGCGCACCCCACCTGGCGAGACGTGACCAACAGGTTGGCCGTCAGCAGGATGACTTGGCTGCAGTAGGCGTGCGTCAGCTGGATGGTGCTGATCAGGTGGCCCTGGAAGCGCTCCCACACGCACAGCCGCTCGTCGCCGCCCGTGCTCAGGATGTACGAGGCGTTGTAGTTGAGTGACGTCACCGCGCCGTCGTGAGCTGGCACGCTGTACATGCAGAGGCCTGCGGCAGCGACGGCAGAGCGAGTGCTAGACGGAGCGCGGCAGCGCGGCCCCGGCCGCCACCACGGCATCAGTCAACACAAGGCAAAACCAACACGTCCAGTGAGCGAGACGCAACAAAAACCTATTCCACATGGGCAGGACCCGGAAGCATGCCATTCAGAGGCGCAGCATCGCAGGGGAGCTGCATGTGCGCACCGGAGAAGGGCCACCACACCAGCATGCGGCACCAGCACCAGCGTGTTGCCGGCGAAGTGCGCGCGCTCACCTGACGTCAAGTCCCAGACAGAGAGCGTGCCCTCGGCGCTGCCGCTGCCACCGGCGGCCGGCTCGGCGCGGCACCGGTCGACGAAGAGGGCGGTGACGGTGCCGTAGTGGCCGTGCAGTGTGTGCACGGCCGAGCCGTCCTCCAGCCGCGTCACCTGCCGGCGGCGGTGGCTCGTCACCAACCGACGCTGGGCGGCGCGCCGGCCGACACGCACCCCACGGCCCGCGCCAGCCCGGCCGAGCTGACTTCATCGACTGGAAATGTCCCGTCAACCCCAGCCCGCCATGGCGAGCATAACGACTGCTGACTTTCGGCGGCGCGGCCGGCGCGGCCGGCTCCGGGCGAAAGGCCGGCACTCACCCGCAGCGTGTGGTCGAGCCCGCCGGAGACGGCGCGGCCGGCTCCGGGCGAACGACCGGCACTCACCCGCAGCGTGTGGTCGAGCCCGCCGGATACGACGCGGCCAGCTCCGGGCGAACAGCCGGCACTCACCCGCAGCGTGTGGTCGAGCCCGCCGGAGACGGCGCGGCCGGCTCCGGGCGAAAGGTCGGCACTCACCCGCAGCGTGTGGTCGAGCCCGCCGGAGACGGCGCGGCCGGCTCCGGGCGAACGGTCGGCACTCACCCGCAGCGTGTGGTCGAGCCGCCGGAGACGGCGCGGCCGGCTCCGGGCGAACGGCCGGCACTCACCCGCAGCGTGTGGTCGAGCCCGCCGGAGACGACGCGGCCGGCTCCGGGCGAACGGCCGGCACTCACCCGCAGCGTGTGGTCGAGCCCGCCGGAGACGACGCGGCCGGCTCCGGGCGAACGGTCGGCACTCACCCGCAGCGTGTGGTCGAGCCCGCCGGAGACGACGCGGCCGGCCGAGCACTCGAGCACGGTGATGAGCTGCTGGTGGGCGCGCGCCGTATACAGTTCGGTCCAGCGCAGCTGCGTGGCCGCCTCCCAGCGCACGTCGTCCGCGCTGCTGTGCGCACCCGGCCTGCCCAGAGACGAGCCAGTCACACACGGCCCGCCAGAGGAACACCGCGACCGACAGCCGGCGCTGTGGGGTGAAGCAGATCTGGCCATTGGACATCTGGACCCACCACAAACACACAAAGACCAGACAGTGCAAACCTGGCCATCGAACATCTGGACCCACCACAAAGACAACACAGGCACAGACAGCGCAGATCTGGCCATGGGACATCTGGACCCACCACAAAGACAGCGCAGATCTGGCAGCGTGGTGGTACCGCCACAGCGTTAGTGCCTATACACGCAATGTCAGACGATGAGTTGCAGGGCATCATCACCATGAGAACGTAAAACGTGCCATGAGAAATAAACACATCATGAAAACGCAATGAGCGTACCCGTTTGTCAGGTGTCGGCCGTTGATAGCGACAGCTACTTTGATTTGACCTGCTTTTCCCGATCTCAGCACGGTTTATGATTTTCGATACGCAGCGATCCATAAAGTGGACAAACACTGACTATATTGACTCTGTGAAATGAACGTATTGAATGTTAATTGGTATATATATATATATATATATATATATATATACACACACACACACACGCACACGCACACGCATACGCACACACACACACACACACACACACACACACATATATATATATATATATATATATATATATATATATATATATATATATATATATATATATCTGACACAGCTGATGCCGTAGGGTCTCACCTGAGACAGCTGTAGTAGGACCAGTCGATGGGCACGCCGTGCTGCACCGCCTGTAGCGTCAGGATGTGGATGGTGCCGTTGAAGCGGGCCACCACTAGCCGCGAGTCGACCAGACGCACGTGCGTCACCGGCACGGCCACCTCGTCATGCACCAGCTGGGGACGGACGGCACGCCAGATGACGTCACCCGGACCCCGGCCGGCTGGCAGTGCGAGGCCGAGTGCATACGCACACAGCTCTAAACGAACAGCGTGACCAGGCAGGCCAACTAAACCAGGTGCTGGCGGGCCGTCAAACCTTGGGAACCCGGATTTCGCTCCAAACTTCACTTCGAATCTACACCAAAACTGAACTAAGGTTAAGCCATGGAAGCGTAAACCGCAGCAGTTGTTCCCCCGCAGAAGTCTTAGCAGAACGGCCGCGCCAACGAAGCACGCCGGCGCGGCCACCGTCCCAGAGCGCAGTCAGACCGCCACCAGCTGCCTCCGCCGGGGAGAACCCGTCTGGCGCGCCGGCAAGAACGAGCACGAGGCGTGGAGGCCGCCTCACCTTGAGCGCGCCGGTGGTCGCGTCCCACATTTCAACGGCACCGTCGCTGCAGCCAACGGCCAGCAGGCCCTGGCGGCAGTCCATGCACCAGATGGCGCCGCGCTCGGGCGCCGTGGTGGGGCGGTCGTCGTCGCACGCCGCGCCGGCCACCGCGCTGCCGGCGCTCCACACGCGCCGGTGGGTGCGCCGCGGCCGCGGCCCGTTCCCGGCGCCGGCCGCCGTCGGCTCCTCGGCCGGCGGACCGGCCGCCAGGAAGCGGGAGAAGTCGTACGCGCCGTCAGCGGTCGGCGGCCCGGCTGGAGCCGAGAAGGTGAGGTCGAGCGCCGGCCAGAGACCGTCGGCCGGCTGCGACAGCTGCGGCGTTGATAGTCGCTTGGCCAGCTGGTCCAGCGGCCGCTCGCCCTGACGGCCGACAGCAGCAGCGTCAGACACGCGACACGACCGCGGCTCGCCACCAATTGCACTGGCTCCAGGTACGGGTGCGCGACAGCTCTCAACCAATCGCTGCGGCTCAGGGCGGGGCACGAGACACTCTCCACCTAATGGCGGGGGTTAACGGCGGGGCACCAGACACTCTCCACTAATGGCGGCAGTCCAAGGCGGGGCACGAAACACTCCACCTAATGGCGGCGGTTCAAGGCGGGGCACGAGACACTCTCCACCTAATGGCGGCGGTTCAAGGTGGGGCACCAGACACTCTCCACTAATGGCGGCGGTCCAAGGCGGGGCACCAGACACTCTCCACCTAATGGCGGCGGTTCAAGGCGGGCCACGAGACACTCTCCCCTAAAGGCCGCGGTTCAAGGCGGGGCACGAGACACTCTCCCCTAATGGCGGTGGTTCAAGGCGGGGCACGAGGCTGCTATCAAACAATTGCGGCGATTCAGGGCCAGCGCACGAAGCACCGCGAAGCCAATCGCGGCCGTTTTCAAAGAGAACTCACAACAAAATAAGGGATCAAATGCAAACAACACGCACATCTATCGCTCAAATAAAAATCTGATCGATCTACGCCCGTCTCACTTCGTTCAGCATGCGTACATGAAGGATGGAACTTAGTTAAAAGCTGCAATGAAGCGCGGTGGATATTCGCAAGAAATGGCAATTCGACTTCTCCAAAATCATACGCAACTGAAATTCGGCGCGGTCCGATCAGCTGAGAAATCACACACACCCAAGCTGCGCCGAACCACTGGTAATGGAGAGAAGCAAACTAGCTGGCACGATCCCAACTGACCCGGCTGGGTGGTGATCCTCCGGAGCCGTAGTCGGAGTGTACGTCCTCATGGCTGGCGCGTGGACTCGCCTGCACCCCTCCCCTGTTGATGATCCTGCGGCAGTGTCATCAGTCAGCTCTAGCTCCGGCTCCAGCGCTACTGCGACGTACTGTGACTGGAACACCTCCACGGCTCAACGCAAACGACACACGAACAAGTACTCTTTGTAAAGTTGGTGAGCCTAGTCTTACTAGCGAGCGGAAAGTCTGATCAGATATGTAGTTGATGCAGATACCGGCGGCGATCCAAGCGTTACGAGCGCACCCGAATGCAACCACCGCCGAAACGATTCCTGAAAGCGACATCAGAACTGCGCTCTAGGCAGGCTGTTGTCTGAGATCCACACCACCGACCCGATCGTCAAGGAGCAGACGAGTCCCAAAAATACTTCGGGATATAATCACACACGCAACACAGAGACAACACATAAAAACGCAGGATAATTCTGATATAATCACACACACAACGCAGAGACAACACATAAATACGCATGATAATTCTATGTCGCAAAAAGCACGATTTCACGCAAAACATAACCACGCATGAGCACGCAGTCATGAATGGCACCGCAGGCACAGTGAGTGGGTGACCGGCCGGCTGTTCTCGCCAGCCGGTAGTGCGCGGTCGGCGGCGGCCGCGGCCGAGGCGCTCACCTGACGCAGTCGCCAGTGATGGCGTCCCAGACGCGGATCTGCCCGGCCAGGCAGCAGCTGGCCACCAGGCAGCCGTCCGTCTCCAGACACTCCACCTGCTGGGCGTGGCCGGCCAGCCGCAGCGGCAACGCCTCAAGCACCACCTGCTGGCGCTGGCCGTCGGCGCCGGCGCCATCCGAGCCCCATGACGAGCGCCACTCGGCGTAGTTAGCGCGAGCACACGCACCGATACAGCACCACCATCAGGTACACCTGTCGGGCGTACCGTCTGCTCAGCGCGCGAGCACACGCACCGATACAGCACCACCATCAGGTACACCTGTCGGGCGTACCGTCTGCTCAGCGCTCGAGCACACGCACCGATACAGCACCACCATCAGATACACCTGTCGGGCGCACCGTCTGCTCAGCGCTCGAGCGCACGCACCGATACAGCACCACCATCAGATACACCTGTCGGGCGCGCCGTCTGCCCAGGCGCGGCCAGATCAAATCCCTGACTCGCTCCAGATGCTCAGCGGTCCAGACTGAAGACTGACAGCTTGACACGTCGCAACACCACGCGGGACCGCCGAATCCGTACAAGTCTGTCGCCTGAGCCTGCGGGGCCACTCGACATGAATCACCCTCTCCGCGGACAAGCTCACTGGTATTTGGGGTTCTGCAGGATCATAGTTCAATCTTTTTGACATCTGTGATGACATTTGACCCGGCTGAACCTCACCACACACCAAGGTGAATGGAACCGTCACGTGACGCCGCTGCGCATCGCCGGTCATGCGACCATCGGCCTCGCCGGGCCACGACACAGTCTGCAAATCAATGGGATGGCTTGCTTTAGTGGTGTCCTCTGACTTACACAGACCTTCATATAATTGATGGCGGAAATGACCAACAAAAAGGGCGCTCCAAATCGTACCTGTTCCGTGTAAATACGCCCAATACGACAAGGGCATCAACTTTCCCGACCGGGAAGTTACCGCCAAATCGAATTATGACAGCCAAGAACGTATCGACATTGCTGCATTCCTAGAGTGCGGCTTTGTCCACTCCCGATGCGTGTTTATTCGGAGAGGGGAATTTTTTTCGATACCACCTAAGGCATGACTCGGCATCATCATGACAGTCTGGCCCTGGCCGCATCCCGAGCTTCGTTCAGAAGTGGGGGAGGGATGGGACATCGCCCTACGCAGCGCCGCCTAATGGTCGCCTAATGGCTCGGACTCCCGTGCGCCGTATGTTGGCCCCGTTGCCGACTTTTGATATCCCCCAGTACATGCTGCGACTGACAAAACACGGGACGCTCAGCTTCAGGCTAGGGTAATGTCTCGTCTAACCACGACTGGCCGATTTCGATGAACACGAGTGATGAAGCGGGACCACTCACGAACAAAAACGTCCCTGACTCAAACCATGCATTCGTGCGCAGATCACTGATGCCGACAGAGCGCAGCTCGTTACAGATTAGTCCGGAGTCGGCGACACTCACGATGAAGGCGATGGATGGCAGGGCCAGTAGCAGCATCAGGAACAGCTCGAACGGTGAGGACGGCACGTAGGCCGAGTCGGAGCTGCGGCTGGGGTACTGCGACGGCTGCCCCGTCTCGTCAATGTCTGGGGACAGGCGCGCATGGCCAGTGCTGCAGTCGCACGCAACACTACCTCCGTGCTGACCAGTCATACTGTTGACAGCGCCACTATCTGGTTACGAACAGCTGGTAGACCAAGCAACGCTGTGAGGACTGCCGCTGCCTGGGTCGAATTTGTAATGCATACGATTTAACTAGTCAAGATTGCTTCCGTTCTTATTAGTTTCTGACGATTATTAACGCAACTATCACGAAAATAATCATCACTACAGTAGGGTAGATCAATACCTCGTACGATAAGACGTCCAACGCGTCTGCAAATTCCAATATGCGTTTTGCAATACTACCTCCAGAAAGCCGCAGATCATACTCAAAGCTCATTGCCGACTTATTAGCCCCAGAGTCAAGCGAATCAGGTCGGCAACATATGATTTCACCACTTACAAGATTTAATGCTGAAAGCTATTGTCGTTACAGAACGGTCAATTGCTAGCAAATGAAAAAAATAATGCGGAAAAGTACGATATCAGCTTTTGCTGGCCACTACTTGTTACGAGTTTGCCGAATCGCTCAAGTCAACACTTCTTGAGTTCTACCTGGAGACGTCCCACATGCGCTCTTTTGTCTATAAACACTTGGCAAGGACCACATAGTAGTGATGGGGCCAAGTTTCCCTAAATGCATGAGACCGTTGAATGTTTTTTTGTTTTGTTTGACATGCCGATGTGCAAGTGACCTCAAATCTGCGGCTTGCTGAGGCCGCGCCAAGAACGTTATAATTAACAAAGCGCAAATACAAAGTGAGAGCTGAGAGCAAGAGACTCAAGTTCCCATGCTTTTCACCGAAGTGGATTTCCCCCTCTATCCTAGAAGTGGCCACCAGGGAGCGACAAAACAAGAGCCGAGGCGTTAGTAGTGCAGGTGCCGTGCACACCGAACCCCGGTCCCCTCGGCCGCGCCGCCACATACCGGCTATGTCGAGCTGGCCAAGAGTCTGCGCGATGCGGTCCACCACGCGGTCCGAGACCTCGGCGTCGCGTGCCTGCCGCGCCTGCAGCGCCTCTTGCGGCGGCACGGCCAGACTGGTGTACACTGGCGGCAGCACGGTAACGTAGCCGTGGCGCGCCGACACGTTATAGGCACGCAGCAGCGAAAGCCAGTGGAAGGCGTGCAGCCGGTGCCAGACGGCCGGGTCGCGGTGGCGCAGGCGGGTCAGGTCGTCCTCGCTGGCGGCCGGCTCGCCGGGCGACAGCAGCGCCGCCAGCGGGCCGCCGCCGCCGGCCGCCGGCGCCGCGTCGCTCTGGTTGAGCGGCGGCGGCGCGGCCAGCCCCGGCAGCTGTTGCACCAGACCGCCGTTATAGGCGAGCAGCACCATCCAGACGACGAGCCCGGCAGAGAACAGGCGCTGGATGACGCGCGAGCGCGCCCACAGGTAGAAGAGGGACAGCCGGCGCGGCAGCTTTCCCAGCAGGCCGTCCGGCGTGTACACGGAGTTGACCACGCTGGAGGGACGGTGGTGCGGCTCGCACAGCGCGCCCGTCTGTCGGCACAGGCGGCGCGCGCGGCCATCAGCGGCGCGCCGAGTCACGGGCCGCGACACGGCGGACCGGACCGGACCGGTGCGGACACGGTAAGGCGTACCCCACCCTTGCACCCCAAATCATGGTTTCACGCAAAGGCTGCTGGAGGTGAGCATACTCGGGCCTGGTGCAAATCACGTATTTTTTGCAGCCCCACACTTCTGTGAATAAGATGAGCGTATCCTTTGCATATTACGATCATCCGAGCTACTGCACACTTCTTTTGTAGCCCCTGCACTTCCCTGAATAAAACGAATGAACCGCCTACGACTTACGCTTCCGCTATCGCCATTAAAGCCGCTACCTGCCATCACCCCTGTGGAATGTGACGCCGCTGGCCACCCGGATCAGACTCCCCGATCACACACCTGGGACTGAGATCGCTGCATCTGGACGCCACCAGCGCCGATCGGGAACCGCAGCCGCAGGTCGGTGTAACTGGAGCCCTCGGCGGCGCTGGCGGCGGCTGGCAGCGCCGCCTGCAGGCTCGTGTCGATGCTCAGCGTGGCGGCGAAGAAGCCCAGCTGCAGGAAGAAGTCGCAGCACATGCCGACCACGGCCAGCATGCAGAACTCCTGGATCAGCGGGATGAACGTGAGAATGCCGATCGTCAGGATGGTGATCTCCAGGAAGAGGTTCTTGGTGATGTTCCAGCCCTGACGGCTGAGGCCCTGCGCGATCCGGATGCGCGGGTTCAGGTCACGCGCCGTGTTCGACACCGACTCGGTGATGACCATGACGTTCTCGAAACCGACCACCACCACCAGGTACGGGAACAGCTCGCGACTGTTCAGTGTCTGCTGCAGGCCGTGGTAGATCAGGATGCCGGACGACATCATTAGCGTGGCGAACACGGTCACCAGCGCGCTCACTGACATGGCCAGCTTGGCCTTGACCGACTCCATCTTGCGCACCGAGAAGTATATGTAGATGAAGAGAATGACGTAGATAAGCGCCACGGGCAGCAGCTCGTAGACGCTGGTGCGCGCCGGAAAGAAGATGTGAACATGGTCCGAAGTGATGTTGACGTTCTCTGCGGCATGTAGTGGGTACAGCTCTAGCAGGCGCGTACGCAGCTGGGACAGCAGCCTGCAACAGTCCCGAATATGGTGAATTTACTTACATAATTTATGACCAAATTGAATGTCATTTATTCTAAAATTTACTAATATGATTATTATGGACAGTAAAGGCTAAAAAACTTGTAGGTTTACAGCCCCCATTTTCACCTGAATCGACCGCTTTCCAAAATGGGGTGGCACAAAACATTTATCTTCACTCATCTGCCATCCAAACGCAAAAAGGCCCAAGTGCTCGCTTGCCTTATGGCATTTGGGACTTTTCACCTTTGGATGGCAGTTCCGTCATAAGGCATAAGGCAAGTGATGTTGACGGCAAGGCAAGTTCCATAAGGCAAGCGAGCACTTGGGCCTTTTTGCGTTTGGATGGCACATGAGTGAAGATAAATGTTTTGTGCCACCCCATTCTGGAAAGCGGTCGATTCAGATTCAGGACCAATTCAGCGGTCGGTCACACACACACACAAAATATATATATATATATATATATATATATTATAATATATATATTATATATATATACTCTCTCTCTCTCTCTCTCTCCTTCTCCCCTCCCTCTCCCTCTCTCCCTCTCCTCTCCCCTCCTCCCTCTCCCCTCCCCTCTCCCCTCTCCCCTCTCCCTCTCTCTCCCTCTCCCTCTCCCTCCCCTCCCTCTCCCTCTCCCTCTCCTCCCCCCTCCCCCCTCCCTCTCCCCTCTCCCTCCCCTCTCCCTCCCCTCTCCCCCTCCCTCCTCTTCCCTCTCTCTCTCTCTCTCTCTCTCTCTCCTCTCTCTCTCTCTCTCTCTCTCTCTCTCTCTCTCTCTCTCTCTCTGTCTCTCTACGTAAACCGACAACTGACTCACTGCACATCTTCCATTATGCAGTGGTTCAAGTACCTTTGGAACGCTCAATGAACTATTTTGATTTCCACGGAATACCTATTTTCTGCTCCTGGCAATCGCTCCTCAGGCAAGTCATTGTAACTGCATCAGCTAGACTGCTAGTTGTAATATAATAGAGCGGTGGTTGCAATGTTCATCCGCGTCGCGAGATTCCTCATAGTGCGTGACTTACTGAGGGTTATTCCTTTTGAGAACGATGGTTACAGCGTAGGTAAGAAACCTCTGCCGTTTGTAGATTCGCTTAAATGCTGTTTCCTTAGCAGGTACACCAAACAGCAGATTGGAGATAGTAGTCTTGTAGAATATTTCTTTCTGCGGACAGTACCAAACACATTGGTGCCACTGAACGCTACAGCTGCTTAGTTCCACTGCCGACGGGTTTCTTTCCTACCGAGCGGCGGCAGCTATTACTAAATGTGCTGTTCATGGTAATTTGAAGAACAGAAAGCTATTTCAATGCAGCAAAAACATCACGCAAACACTCCCCTGGGTCCACACCCTCCAGCACAGCCCCCACAACGCTGCCTACAGCAACGCCGAGCACCGCAATGGGGGACCATCAAACTGCCACGAACCTGTCCAGCGACCTGCCGAACAGGTGGGCGGCCGCCCCGCCTCGCGGACCTGGACGACGGCTGGCGCCGGCCCTCGCGCCGCCTCACCTGCTGGCGCACCACCGTCTCGATGATGTTGTCGTCCTGCATGAAGCGGGCGCGGCTGTTCTTCCAGAGCACGGCCGGCGACAGGATGAGGCAGTTGTAGCGCGGGAAGTGTGTCTCCAGCAGCGCCGGGCTGCGGTACAGCGGCTCCTCGGCGCGAAAGCACTCCTCCAACATGGAGGCGTTGCTGGCGGAGGGGCACACAGCTCGCATCGGACCACCATGGTCGTCCGGCCACCTCGCAGAAGCGAGGCGTGCCTGAGCGTGCACCCGAGGCGGGGCGGCAGCGGTGCCGGCCTCCCGAGGCGGCAGCGGCGCCGGCCTCTCGAGGCGGCAGCGGCGCCGGCCTCTCGAGGCGGCAGCGGTGCCAGCCCCCCGGGGTAACAACGGAGCCGGCCTCTCGGGGCGGCAGCGATGCCGGCCTCTCGGGGCGGCAGAGGCGCCAGCCTCTCGAGGCGCACGCCGGCATGCATTCTACGCGACGAAAAAGGGCGAGCTGTCGTGTCAGGTTTTGAGGTCGCGGGATCGATAAACGGCGTCGAAACCCCGTCCGCCATCTAATGAAGATCTGGCAATGCCAGCGCAAATCCAAAACCCAGAATGGGTACAAACTGCTTGCCCCATGTGTACACTTACCCAACTACAAATCTATTTCGTTCTATAATACATCTGCTCCACCTACAGCAGTCCTCCACTTATTTGCATCCATTCGAGAAAGCCCGTTTGCGACACAGCCCCTCAAAATTCTGCATGTCCCGACCAGTTTACAGATAGTCGACCAGCACCCACCCGTCCTGGAAGTTACTGATGGTCTCGGTGAGGGCGAACACGTGAGAGAGAGGCGCGCGGTAGGCGTCGGTCAGGATCATGTCCCCCTGCCATGGGGTGACGGCGGCACGCACCACAACCTGGCAACACGCGTGCAGTGCTGTATCAATCGCGGGAACGAGCCCGGCACACGTGTGCGGATGTCGGCAGCCACAACACTTACATGAAAAGGGACCTTAACTTGAAACAATACACATAATCCGCGGTAGTGACGTAAACCGTTTTGCTTTCTTCTTGTTCCATTACACTAGTGCACCAGCCGACAACAGGTCAGGCACAACGCAAGTTACCAATTCACGTGAGGCATTGAAGCCTCGCGTCCAATACCGTATCCAAGAATGACATTGGAAGCTTGTACCATACATGGTGTCGGACCAAATAAGGTATTAGTATCCATGTATCACATTAGTGTGGTAAGTCATACTCGTGACATGGAAAATAAGACACGGAACGGCGAGCGTCCAAGACACCGAGCACATATCACAATATGCAATATACATATGCAGTATGGTTGTCAAAATGGCAAGATCGCATGCGAGACTTCTGCAGTGACGTCGTCTGCAGTCGCCCAGCTGACACGGCCGGTCTCTTCACCTGCTGAATGTACACGGTGGGAGGCTCCCGGAACCATATGGGCGCCGTCTGACTCGACTTTGGGGCAGCGGAGGCCGACTGCGACGTCCGAAACTCCTGCGGAGTGTTGCTAGGCAGGTGCATGTTGACCACGGGGATGCTGCCGACACAGGTTATGTTCAGATTTTCCACATGAAAAAGGGTCAAATGACATGAAAAAAATAACAAAAAAGTAGAATTGGGTGAATTCATAACTGTTTTTGGCATCTGAGGGTGAAGTAATTGCAATTTCACTACAAGTCCTGTGAATGAATGGAAGGCCCATGCCATACAACTTCATGACCACATACATAGTGAGCCTTCCCAATACTTTTGAAGTTTTTGAGTTACAAGACTGATCTGTCTTAACACTTGCAATCATACAGATGTTTCAACCAGCAAGATGTCTGTGAGTAGTTTGGACCTTACTCACACAACCAGCACCATACCCGTATTAGCAGCCATGCCAACAAATCCACATACTACAATCCAGTATATACCAGCCACATACCAGCACACAGATATGGGTACCATACTTCTAAGAAACCAAGCCCCTCATTGCCATAACCTGTTCAAGGAACATGGGGAATAAACCATTTATGGCTACCCCAGACCCATAGATACATGACTTCAACAGCACCACACACACAGCTACAGTTTTATTACATAGTCACCCACCTGCAGATGATGGCAATGGTCAGCACTGCCGAGCTGAGCAGCTTTGGATGTGAGGCTGCAAACAGCCCATAGGCATAGTATAGCTGCGCCACTCTGCCTGGCAGTCCGGCGGTGCTGGCATCCTCTGCTGATGGCGGCATCAGCTCCACAGCACTGTTCCACCCTGCAAAGGACAGCATAGCATGGGTCATGACATGCTTTTAGCTGGTTCGTTATGCCAATAAAACATGGAGAACAAGGTGAGAGCATTACACAACTTCACAGCAACAGAAAACCTGTGCACCCAATCTACTGAGCAATCATATGCTACAGTAAAGAACTCCATGATGGTGAACAGCATTTTATACACTTAAAAGAAAGACCATGTTCCAAATTTGCATGCCTCATACTTAACCCATGTTGTGCAGTACAGATCCCATATGTCTATTTACATATGAACTGATTTTATACAGAATAACAATTGTGTGCATGAATGCAGTGATTATCCAATGAACTGACCAAACCTGGGTCAACCACAACCCTATCACACACCCTCCACACACCCATCAAAAGATTCCCTGACTTTGATCTGCTACAGGTCAGTGACCTTACATGATACATCTAAATTTTGTATACCACATGATCTGCTGTTAAATTGCATACAGCTATGCACATGCAGTTTGGGGACCATTCTGGCAAAACCCTTTGAGGGTGTGTGTGAAAAATTGCCCTCTCTAGGCACATCTTTAAGGTCCTGCACAGCAGCAAGAGGCTGCTGAGCAAACAGATATTTCTACAACAAACAAATGTCACAGAAAATGGCAGCTACCAAGAGGTGTATAAATGGCCCAAAACAATTACGCTGATGCATGATTAAGCCATATGCCACTAAAATAAAGCCCATACCTTTATATCATTCTAGGTTCACATCTATAGCACAACTAGACAGGTTATCTAACTTTTGTAATCAATCCCACTTGTGGGAGCACATTCTTGTCATTGAGGTAGAGATGAGGTTATGTGGACTACACCAGCCCACCTGCCAAACTCCATCAAACCACTTACCTATTGGACCACAACTGGGAAAAAAATGTGAAAAAATGCCTCAAGGACTATCTTGACAATTGTTACAGCAGTTCAGATCTGGATGGCCGATTGAAGGACCAAGAACCGTGAGAAACGGGTTTCCATTCTATTCGTAAGAAGTGTTTTTAATCTCTGACATCTTACATGGAACTAAAAAAAATATCCGTAAATCCAACCCGGCTCTAATCAAACGGAGAACGATCAATTCCGAACATTCTTCTTTCAGTGATCACTATTCCACTCCCAACACCCAAACACCGCATCTAACCATCAGTCCCAATATCTCACCAGCTAGCCAACAGCGCACATCTTTTGTAAGCGTCACTTTCGTCACAAAAAGGTCAATCGCCAAAGAAGTCTGCTAGCAAATTAAAAATTTTAGGCTTTTCGAAGCCTGGACACCATGGAACTGCATGTGAGTAATTTGAAATTGTGGAATAAAACAATGTAGATAAATTTTGTGTGGTACAGCTCGGCATACATCGTAATGCTTTTTTATTTTTATCTAAAATGTTCATGAATGGCTCTTCAATCGTAAATGTTAAACCATTAAGCAACCGTTGAAAACCCATGAGCTTTTCGTTGCACAAGTGTTTGAGAACCACCGACACAATTTAATCGGAGCTCACTATCATGGAAGTAAACTGATTGTCAGTAAGCTCCTTTCTGAATTAAGCAAAACTAATTTTTTATTTTTTGCTGGGTATGGAAACGCAAAAGTTTCTCTTATCCCGGTTGGAACCACTTGTTAACCTCGCAGACCAGTATGCCTGTATATTGTTCACTACTATCGTTGAGTCAACTGTTTTGATATTTTGTGTGTACCATTTTGCGCTTTGCGCGAATCTCGATGAATTTACGTTCGTTAGTATACGTGAATGAGTAAATCTGTGCTGGCTGTGGGGTTGATGGGGCCTGTCATTTCATGTTCTGTGTTGCGTCTATAGGATGAAGCATGTAGACTGGCTGACGCTTTTCCTTTGCGATGCGCTTGTATTTTTCATCAGGCAATGAGCATGATGGTGAAATTGATAAGAAAAGAATCGGTTTGACGCGTCTATGAGCAGCTCGTACTTTGTGTACCTGACACGCCTTTTTAGAGGTAGGTGCCTTTGTATTTGGGAACTCCGATTTTGCCTTATTTGTTGTAGATATAAAATATTTACATCAGGCAAAAATAAGTGAAACTACAGTTGCTGGATACACATGGTTGTTGGATGTTAACACTTAAGTGACTTTGAGGAGACATGCCATGCGACTGAGGAAACAGTAGCAGTTGTTCAGCTAAGATATAAACAGCTTGTGAGAGGATTTGGTGTAATATCTGGCAGCTTAGCATGCCCACTGATGATGTGGTTCACTGTAACTCACTGTATTTCAGGATTTCTCAGGCATTGATTTAAGCTCTCAGGACATGCACCAAATGACTATCTCCTGTTTGTTGTTTAAGTCTTGTTCCTACTTAAAGCATGTATCTTTGTTAGGCATGTGTCTGCTATACCACATGATATGGAAATAGGGCATGCCAATATGCAGGTTTGTATCATTCTCTCACAGCCAGTTTCAGGATAGGATAAGAGTCATTTTGTTCTCAGGGACATTTTTTAGCCTTAAGGTGCTTTATCTAATACCACACTGTTGGCATAATGTTTGGTGTTGCAAAATGAAAAGGAATGTCAGGCTAGCCTCTATGTGTTGTTCAGCCATTGGTGGCAGGACACCACTAATAGAACACCTGAGAAGCCTGCTGTGTTTTGATTTGTAGCTGTCCTAAGATGTTGTGAGGGGGTGCACTTTTTTCTATGCCGTGCCGAGCCAGAGGCATATTTTTAAGTCATAAGCCAAATAAGACCAAGTGAATTGCCATATAAATCACTGCTGGACTGTGGAGCTGTGGGACCTATAAGCCATGTGGCCTAAAGCCAGCACTTTTGGGAAGCTATCACTATGTCCATCAGATCAAGCCTGGAACATGTCACTAGTCAAAAACTTTATTGGAAAAATATTACCTTTAAATTTGATATAGGATTCATTTTAATCCATTGCTTATCTGGCCTTTCTGTCAATTCCTACTGTCTTGCTAGTCACACTCACGGCCTCTTAACAGCTTCCCGTAATGTCCTTGTAGCTTTTTTGTGGAAATAATTGTTGATCAGTCTTATTTGTTTTCTAACTGCTATTTCCCTGCAGCAGTTTTTTCAATATTTTTTTGTCTATTTGCTTTCCAAATCTGTAGAGGCAGGCATTGCTCCTGTTAGTGTCACTGTCATGTTAAGGATGGGCAGGCTAAGGAAAATGCAATGCATTTGACTATTATATTGTTTGACATGATCCATGTATAAACTGGTCATAGGAAACTTATTCCATTCTTAAGAAAAATGTTTGGTAGTGCAAGGAATCACATCAAACCTCACCAGCATAGTGTTGATGCAGATGTTGGGCAAAATTGGGCAAAATGTCTTGGGCAGGGCTTCAAAATGAATGGGAATAAGGCATTTTCATTAGACTGTTTATGATGTCATAGCTGTTTTCTGAACTGACATGTTATATTTCAAGTTGTGCCATGTTGCAGGCCTTCGGAAAAGTGGTTTGAATGTTTAGAACAAGGAGTAGAGACTATATTTATGCTACTAGAGAAAAATCCATCAAATCCATTTGTCTACATTGCCAGTATACACCAGCAGCATTGTTTAGCAAGGATGAGTGCACACCTTTTTTACCCAGCTGTTAAACAGAAGCCAACTAAGAGGTGGTTTTAGATATTTAGGCTTACAAATCTCAGTCATTGGGAGCATTACACAAAACTTGAAAGATGTGCCCCAACTCAGCTTAGCTGCAGATCACTGTAAATATAATCACAACACTAAAATTTAGGTGTTTTATTGTGGTCCCTGCACTCAGTATCATGATAGGAGAGGCTGGGTGTGAGAACATGACCCATAATTTGGAACTTAAGATGAACACTAATATTACATGGACAAACCTCATAGTAGGTATGGATCGCCCACTTGTAAGGGTACTGCTGTGCAACTGTGGATTACATTGTGTTTAATGTGATCCATTGAAACTGGACTTAAGCTATGCCTTTTTCTTCCATATAGAATGCAATCAGCCATGACCTCATCAGGTCTCAGACCTCATCTGACAGCATAACCTCAGCCATTAATGTCAAAATGACTAGGTCTTGACCAAGCTGCAGTCTTTAAGTTTGGGTGCTTTTGTGCAAACTCCACTGCAAAATCTGGTCTCCTGATCAATTTAAGTTTGGCTTTCTGTAGGTGACTCATGTTTTCCCATTAAGTACCCTGGGAACCCAGTCATGTCCGGGCTCATGCTATCTCCTTGTAGTTTAAGTTCATAGTCTAGGTCATTTAGATGGGGTCCTCAGGTCCCCTGCCTGCTCCCCACTACAAAACGTAGGAGAAAATCTGATGACGCCCCAGCATATCTACCAGAGGTGGTGGTGTTGGGGCCCAGGCCCTTAAGAGACCCTGTCCATTTTGAGATTCTGTAAGAGTATAACCATCTAATGAGCATTATGCAATTTGCAGGAAGTCTTTGGCAGCCTGCCATCTTAAGTATATTTAGCTTCTTTGGGTTTTGATTGCACTGGGAATGCATCCTCTGTCTGGACTGAAGCAAATTTTATTTTCTAAATTTTATCATTTTGTTTTGGTTGTGTTTTGGGTCACTGGGCTTCATGGATCATGCACTCATTGACTTTTGCATTGTCATCCCACCACTACCTTCAGGCCTCTTTGCTGCTGGCACCTCAGTAACCATTATGGGTTGTGACCATACAGTGCTGACATTGGATAGGGGACTGTACCAGCATTACTTGCAGTACCAAGCCCTTCTACATTATGTAAATGCTTATGTTATTTTGACCCTCTGGGTCCCCAGGCAGCCAACAGCCAGCTTTGGCTTTCAGGGCGCCCATGTCATCTGCGGTCACGACGGTCGTTACAGGTAGTATGTTTGTCATAAGTCCCTTCGGAACACTGTGGGGATATATTTTTGTCCTCAGGTTTTTGGCACGCCTCGGCAGCCTCTGGACCTGCAGATCGCTTCCGATCCGATCCGAAGATCTTGTGATCTCTTCCTAAGTGTCCGGGCCATTTCGGATGGCTGTATGCTCTACCGATGGGGAATATGCCATCTTGGGGGCACTGTCTTCACTTGACCTTGTTAAAGGAAGGAACTTATTATTGTGAGCGAGTTGACACGCATTATCGATGCTCTAAGTGCCGGAATGGTACTACTTGCATGAACCAACAGTGACACATTGTTGGTGTCAATAAATGCATATACAAAAATCGTCCAGGACAGGAAAATGTCTTCTCATGAGCTATGCTGCCTGATTTGTCACATTGTCAACAATTTTCAGGGTGTGTTAAGGATATTCTCGGCTGCAGGCTTCCCACTGTACATTACAAGCCGTCCAGGACATTGGCATGGGTTATGATTTATGATGGGAAACAGGAACCGCCCCTCAGTAAATTACCAAAAGACCTTGAGAGTGTCACCACCCAAGTTGCTGCCTTCTACAGACGATGTAGCCCATCACCCTGTACTGGTTTACATTGAATGCGTTTGACCAAATGCGAGCTGAAGTTCTCCGTGTCAGGGTAGTTGCAAGACTGGTCATGTTGCTCGCCTGCTGCAATTTAGAAATCAGCAATTGAGAAGGAGTCAGCAAATTGTGGAGCAGGGAATCTACTTGATCTAGAATCGGGATCTGTTAGTGGCTGTTTTGCTCAGACAGGTGTGTGAGATTATGAAATTACAAAAATTCAATGGGGATAGGCAAACGACCGATGTGAGAAATTATGTCGCGACTGTGCGTATCACGTAGGGGCAGACTATCGCGCTCCCCTTGCATGACAGTTTCCTGTACTGGCTGTAAGACGCTCTCGTGCGATCCATTCAGGCTGAAGCCGTGTACGCAGAGACATACGTGCGTGTGTGTTAGCATGAATGCATGGTATGTTTACTGGATTCTGTTGCATTTACCCTGCGCTGTACTACAACATGGTGGTGAATATTTAAAGTGCGTTAATGAGCGCGGTATTGTTTTCGCGTCTGGATAAGGCCCGGTGGCAGGACGCCTTGCATTGCGTGGTGATCGAATCCTTTGTCATCACGGCCGTGTCGTGTCGTGCCACGTCACGTCACGTCACGTCACGTCACGTCACGTCACGTCACGTCACGTCATGCCATGCCATGCCATGCCATGCCATGCCATGCCATGCCATGTCATTCACAAG